TTATATTTTTAATAAGAAATATTTTGCAAAAGACCCTGATGATTTTTTAGATTATCGTCAGAGTTCACAGGATTTTACAAGTTCAGATAGTCGGCACATATAACGCAAATGAAATACCCTAGCTAGTACAATGGTAGTGCGTCTCCTGATAAGTGGAATGTGTGTAGTTCAAGTTCTCTTTTCTTTTGGTAATAGAACTCGCTGCTTATCTTAGTCATGAATCATAATAACAAACTCTTACATTAGATATAATTATGAAGTAGCTGTCTTAAGCTTTTTTGGCTCCAGACTCATAAGATGAAGACATTTCGTTCGAAATTTATTAACTAATGTAAGACATTCTGTGACGATGAGAATTTACTAAAAATTACGATACCGAATTCGAATCTATCTCGAGATTCATTGGATCCATAAGCATATTTAAATGTCACCGTTTTTTTTCTCTCTTATAACTTTCTACGACTTCATTTTTCATGAGACTCGAAACATCTGTGCATGTGCCACACGTATCAACAGAGCAGATAATATTCATTGTTAATAGTTTGATTTTGCAGAAATACTCTTTCCTTTTGAATTGATTCAAAACTTGAGAAATATCTGATCGAATCGTCAAACTAACTGCTATACATGCATATTCGAAAAGAACTGTTAGCATAAATGTAATTTTTTGCAGAAAAGCAATATTCAGTGAGATATATTAATGGAATTATTTTCAACAGACAACGCGTATTGAAAGTTTCGATATGAGTGGAGGTATTTAAAGAAAATAAATGCGGAAACTTCGGATTTAAATCCGAGAGTTATGTGTACTTCAAAAAGTGAATCATACAAATCAATCATCCTAGACTGTCTGAATATCAAAATTATACTGTGAAATCTACCATTTAAAATGTTGATTTCTATTGCGTGATGCCAAACCAATAGGACATGGGGCCGAATACAGCTCAAGTTTGAACTCTTTCCCTTGATTTACCCTAAGAAAGTCGTTTTTCCTGTAACTTCATTTCTTTTGGTCACTGCGCAAATAATAGTATTTCGATGAAAGTGCAGTACACATTCGAGTTCTCCATATCTGAAAACCTCGAAGTATCATCAGTGTGACCGGAAGATAAAGCTCTATTTGTGGATCAATTAGATCGTGGACCAAAATATAACCTAGTTCTCTTTAATTGTCCTTGTCATTGGTAAGTCAACCTTCTTGTTTCTTTATGTTTTATATATCATTTTGTAGTTCCTGAAATTCTCTATCGAATGGTATATAATAGTTGGGATTTTAAATGACTATGATAGGAAAAGTCTTTTACGAAAGTCGCGATGGGTCCATTTTTCCACAGAAAGCTATAGGGAAAAATGGGTATTTTTGTAATAACTCAGGAACGGCTCGGCCGATCTCTCTCATCTTCGAACTCGACCGAGATATTGTCAAGACTAAGCTGTGTA